CTCATTTGAGCAAGTTTGACCAAGTCAAATTTGGTCAAATGAAAAAACAACACTTTGACTCTAATATTATGAACTCTAAATGACTTCAAATTGAAAAGTTTTGAATACCAAGTTTGTTCAACTCATCAAGATCTACAATTATTGTTTTGGTCAACTTTCCATTTGAGATAGTTTGGATGGTTCAAATTTGTGATTTTTAAATTTTAACGCCTATAAACTAGTTTTCCATTTGAGAAAGTTTGAACGGTTTAAATTTTGAAGCACTAAATGATTTCAAACGAAAAAGTTGTAAACAACAAAGTTTCATAACTTTTTGAGATCTACAATTTTTATTTTGATCATTTCTCCATCCAAGGTCGTTTGAATAATATCCGGATAATATCCGTTTAAAAATATCCGGATATATCCGATACTTAACCGGATTATCCGATATCCGCCGGATATCGATGATATTACATCCGTATTTGATATCCGCCTAAGATATCCATTTTATTATCCGTATCCGAAAAAAATTACGGATATCCGAGTAACTATCCAGATAAGTATTCATATTTGTTCGGTCGAACGGACGGTCGAATAAATATCCATACCGTTTTCATCCATACTCGCGATGCATGAGCTTGCTATGGGCCATGGGTAAAGTTGAAAACGGACAGGATAAATCATGTTTCGTCCGCAACCATATACCGTATTTTCTGGTCCATTTTTGTTTTTTTTTCCGGGATAAACGGAAACGGGACCAAAAACAAGACAGTGTAAAATGGGAGCGGGACAAAAAAACGGTGGTGCGTTTGTTCGTCCGTATTTGCGAAATCCCGTTTTTGACTAGGATATCCCATTTTGCATCCCGTTTTTCATCAATCCGTGATAGGTAGCCCAGCACAGCCTAGAAGCCCAATGTGGCCCAAAATACGCAAACCATATCCTATCGCTATCTAGCTCCAGCCAGCCGCACCCGCGCCGCACTCCAGCATCTCCGCCGCCCTCCCCCATTCCACGCACCGCACCCGCAGAGCGTAGACTCGCGAGAGTCGTGACTCGCCTCGCCTCGGTGTCGGCGCGGCGATGCCGACGCTGCCTCCCCCATCCGGCCGTCCCCACTTCCCCGTCTACACTCCGCCGTGCTCTCTGACCCTCTGCTGTCCCTGACTCCTTGTCCTGCTGATGTTGCCGTCTGGAGAAGACCGTGGTGGCTCCATGCTGCCTGAAAAGCACCTAGGCCTGTCGAGCTACCTTCATCTTCCAGAACCGCCGGTGCCACCTCCCTCTGTGAAAGGCAGCACGAGCGGATCTATTTTAGTTTCATGTAAACCTCCTCTCGGACTCTAGGTTCTTGGATTTGTAGTCTTTACTCTAGGTTCTTGGTTGCAAACTTGAAGTAGAAATTAATACAAGTTGCATTTTAACTAATTGATAGGTCCAAGAGGAAAGCAAGTGACGTTGCTAGTAAGGGGGCACTTGTTGTGTCTGGGTCTTCATCTTCAGCATCAAAGAGTACTCATGAAATTCCACTTAGTGGTAGTGGCACTAGCACTGATAGTGGCACTGACACACCAACAGAAACACAGGGACAACAACCAGGTATTGATGGTAGTGACGCACAGAGACAGGGCCAAGGTGCTGAACGTGCCATAGATATTGTTGTTGTTGTTGATGATGATGATGATGGAGTGGCAGATGAAGTTACTCCTGGTAAAGGGAAGAGGCAGAAAAAGTGCACATCAGAGGTGTGGAACTATTTTACCAAGAAAAATGTGGTGGTCAAGGTGAATGAAAAGAAATATGAGCAGCTAATATGGGGTTTTTGCAACTTCCCAAATTACAATATGAAGTATAGAGCTGAGTGTAGCAATGGCACTACTGGATTCAGGAACCATCTAAAGTCATCACATAACATTGTAAAGGGGCAGCTACAGCTCAAGGCAGAAAAGGATAATGGAAAAGATGTCACAACAATACAACCCTACAGGTATGATCAAGAGGCCAGTATGAAAAAAAAATATTTGGCAATAATCTTGCATGAGTATCCTTTCAATATTGTTGAGTATGACTTATTTTGTTGAATTTGTCAAGTCTTTGCGGCCTAGCTTTCTATTGAAGTCTAGAGTCACTGCTAGAAAGGAAATAATGGATATATATCTAGCTGAGAAGGAGAAATTATATGCATATTTGAAAGCAATCACATGTCGTTTTAGTACTACCATGGATATATGGACATCATGTCAAAACAAGTCTTATATGAGTGTCACCTTACATTGAATAGATGATAATTGGCATATTCAGAAGAGAATAACAACTTTCTTTCAAGTAGAGGGACGACATACTGGTCACAAGTTGGCTGAGGGTTTTACTGAAGTCATGGTTAAGTAGTTTGTTGAGAAGAAATTATTTGCCTTGATTTTGGACAATGCATCAAACAACTTGGTGGTTGTTACTGATTTAATTGATGACCTTATAGAGAATGGTAATGCGTCTTTGATTTGTGATGGCGTGTTTTTTCATATTAGATGTGCATATCATATTCTCAACTTAGTTGCTAGGGATGGACTAGCTATTATTAACAAAACTCTTGGGAAGATAAAATTATTGGCACTAACTGTAAATGGTTTCCCTTGCAACGGGAGGAACTCATAAAGTGTGCAAGAGAGTGTGGGTTGGATACTTCAGAGGGCATTCAGCTTGATGTTACAACCAGGTGGAACTCAACATATTTGATGCTAAGGGATGTCTTGCATTACAAGCCTGCTTTCTTAAGGCTAAAGACAACAAATCGCAGTAAGTATAAGTAAATTTCCCCAACTGATGATGAATGGAAGATGGTTGTGACAGTTTCTCAGTGCTTAAAAAAGTTTTATGATCTTACTGTACTGTTATTTGGTACTTCATATCCAACTGCAAATCTGTTCTATAGATGTTTTTTGTGAGATAAAAGAGCTGCTAGATAAATGGTCTCATAGTCCAGATTTGATTATTAGGGAAATGGCCAAATCTATGAGTGAAAATTTTGAGAAATATTGGACATCTTCTGATACTGCTCTTGCTGTAGCATGCTTCCTTGATCCAAGATATAAGCACAAACTTGTAGAGTATTACATGAGAAAGTTCTATGGTGACTACTTTCAAATTAAACTTGATGAATTTATTAGTGTTCTAAAGGACTTGTATTAGTCTCATGCTACCTCTACACCTGAATCCTCAAAGGCAAAGGGTGCTGTGAGTGCAAATGAATTGGTCAGCCCAACAGATCGTGAGAGTCAAGATGCTGAACTTGAGAGTTTCTTATATGATGATTGTGGGCCTGATAGAAATGAAGTAAATGAGTTAGACAAATACATGGCAAAGCTACTGTTGAAGCAAAATCCATTTAATATTTTAGCTTATTGGAAGAACAATACAGATAAATATCCAATTCTTGCACAAATTGCTCGGGATATGATGGCAATATAAGTGTCAACAGTAGCTTCTGAGCCTGCATTTAGTGGGGCTGGGCGAGTTGTTGATTCCCATCGTAATCGTCTAGATCCTGAGATGGTACCAGCACTGATTTGCGCCAAGGACTGAATACATTCCGCAACCAAAGGTAATATTTTACTTAGTTCTACAATCTAATTGTCACATATTATTTTCCAAGCTGATCAGTCTCAAGCACAATATTGCATGGTCTTTATTTTGATTTTTTAGATTCCAAATACATTCCTACAATTGTGGCTGAACGGTCACTTCCGGAGACGGTATCTGTTAGTACTAATCCCCCACTACTGATGATGATGAGGTATTTAGCTTGGCTTCTGAAACAGTTCTGTAATAGCTAAAGACAATAACATAAACTTATATTTCCAATTAATCATGAATATATGTGCTGAAAATTGTAGGGAGAAGGGTAGAGTGCTCCAGATGCAATGAATGAAGATGGTGAGCTGTGAAAAACTGATGTGCCGTGATGCTGTGTGTGCGCTCTGTTGTTGGAGAACCATTAAATAAATATGTTGTATGTGTGTTGGTGGACTACTGCAATTTCTATTTGTTAACACATATGTATTGTTGTTTGCCTATTTGTGCTAAACACATGCTGTTTGTGACTTGTGACTTGTGAGCACGTGATGTGTCATGTCTCCTATCTCATGTGATGTATGGATAGTTCATATTTGTGTGATGTATAGATATTTGATATTGTACTAATATTTATATGTGGTCAGTGCATATTTGATATTTGGTATTGCACTATTTGATATTTGGTATTGCACTTTGGTCTTTGTATTTGAGCTATCATATGCGGCATACATGTTTCAGCTTAAGTTTTCGCTTATCATTCGTTTTCGTCTATTTTCCGATCGTATTTATCTGTTTTCGTATTTCTATTTATCCCGCTGCCGTTTTCGTTCCCGGCTGTCCAGCTCCCGCTCCCGTTTCCATCTAAAAATATGAAAACGAAACTAATAGAGCGATTTTTCCATTCGTTTCCGTCCGTTTTCAACTTTAGCCATGGCCCCCTCGGCCGGTCACGTACACCATGCGGAAGCGCACGCCCATGCCAGTATGCCACCCCGCTTCCAATTGCAATCTGCCTGACGCCTGATTTGGTGGATTATTACTGCTGGCTGGATCACGGATTATTACTGCTGGCTGCTTTGATGTGAGAAAAAATATTATTATGATTAAAGACACTGTTCATATAAACAGTGCCCGCGTGAGAGCGCTGGCCAGCACCAGCCAGCCAGCCAGTCGCTCTAGGCGCACAGGCTGCATGCCGTTCTGTTTCGTCGGGAAACGGTGGGGCGGGCCCCCGCGTAACGGCGCGTGGGGCTCGGGCGTTCCTCAGCCGTCGGATCCGGAACTCACCTCTGACCGGAGGGCGGAGGCGGCCACCTTCCCGTCGATCGTGGCTGGAAAGATAAAAATGAGGCCCGAGGCCACCAGCGCGGTGGCCTGTGCGTGCGTTTCCCGTGCGTGCGCCGTGCGAGAAGGGAAGCGAAGGGTCTTTGCTTTGCCCAGAGTCCCGGATGGGGAAGTACATGAGGAAGCGCAGCGTGGGGAGGACGCCGGCCGTGGAGCTCGGCGTGAGGACGCGTGCCCGCTCCGCGGCCGTCGCGAATGCGGCTGCTGCTGGGGCCGCGGCGGAGGCACTGGCGCCGAAGAGGCCGAGGAAGCAGGCGACAGCGCGTGCGGAGGCCGAGGCCGAGGCGGCGGTCCGTGGGAACGGCGGCGGGGCATCGCCAGGGTGCTGCTACCTGCAGTTGCGGAGCAGGAGGCTGTTCATGTCCGCGGGGGACGTGCAGTGTCCGGTGCCGCCGTTGCCTGCGGTGGCGGTACAGCGGTCTGTACCTTCCGGGGAGCCGATGGTGGAGGTCGCTGGGATGTGCTCCAGCACGGCGTCTTCGGTGGACGTCGTCCTGGCAATGGCGCCGGCTAGGGAGACGAGCGGTGGCGAAGCGGAGGAGGTGGATGGGCTCGGGAGCCCTAGCTTAGCCATTTACAATTTACAATTCACACATGGCACCGCTGAATTATCCATTCTGATTGCGGTTTCTTGGTCTTACTGCAGGCACACGAGGACTGCGAGTGCGACGTCGAGAGCGTCGTCAGCGACTCGGCCGGGTGCGGCCGCGAGAGGTGAGCTGTGCTGCTCTCCTGAATTCCCGGGAATTCAGCATCCTTGCCGCTTTTATTTTCACGATTATTATTTCCCCATGAATAATTCTCGTAATTCAGGAGGGAGACTACGCCGTCGAGCCGGCCACCGGTAGATCTCAGCGACGAGGAGTGGAGTCAGGCCACGGACGACGACCCAAAGCGCCACCTTGGTCGGACGGCTTTGGCCACCACCGCGACAACGACCGCGGTGGCTTGCAGAAGAGCAAGAATGCCACCGACAGGAGAGATCGAGGAGTTCTTCGGGGCCGCGGAGAAGGCGCAGGCCGAACGCTTCGCAGCCAAGTAAGTGGGATTAATTCACTGCACACCGTCGTCCGCCGCTGCCTCGTGCGCGCATTTCGTCCGGCGATGGCGGTCGTCGTCAAGACTCCCGAGTCCCAACTCCCAACACCAGGGCGTGCCGCCGTGGGCGCTAATTTCGGGCTCTCTTTGTCCCACACAGGTACAACTTCGACGTCGAACGCGGGCTGCCGCTCGGCGCCGGCCGGTACGAATGGACCCCGGTGGCCAGCGGTTGACGACGACGTGCGCGCCCGCCGGAAAGCGTAAAGCTGGAGCCGGAAAGCGACGGTGGCGCAGGAAAACGAGGGCCTGGCGCGTGCAGTGGGACGAAAGAGACGCCGTTAGGTAGCCACAGAGAGAAAAGAGTACAGATGATACAACCAGAGCAGCGGCAGCGGGAGAGAGAGAGAGAGAGCGGTAAAAGCAACGAGCATTTTCACTCGGTACCTCGCAGTCTTTTGTTCCTTTCGTACCAACTTCTACTAGTTTTTTCGACAAGCTACCGACTTCTAATAGTAACGAACTTATTAATCGGTTTATCAGCTATAATCTACAGTATTTTTCTTTCATAATAAAACAACTTCAACTCATTTATCAACCGGCTTTAATACCGGTCGAATAGACCCACCCATTAATTAGCCAGCGTGAGCAGCTGCTTTCATTCTTCAGTTCGTGTTCCTGCACTATAGCCAGATCAGATCCGCCCATTAATTAGCCAGCGTGAGCAGCTGCTGGATCTGTCCAGTGTTTGGTTCCATGGTGTTACCGCCCTGTGATCTGATCCATGGTGTGCCGTGGAGAGAAGGTCAGGGCTTAGGCGTGGTAGGTGAGGGTCGGTGGGCCTGTTAGTTGAATTTATCAGTCGACTTATCAGCTAAAATCTACAGATATTTTTTCATAATAAAATAACTTCGTCGATTTATTAGCCGACTTTAATATCAGCCATCTCTTCGTCCGGTGGTCCCTGCAGTACCGCATATGCGAGAGCTGGAGAAAAAGGGATTAAATTAAGGTGGCAGTTTTGATTACTTACTATCGGTGTAGTTTCTGATCCAAAGAACGTCCTCAGCGACGTGGAATATTTTTAACGAATTTACTAAATTTCATGTGTCTGAATTTTAGTTTTCTTCTAGGCGACGATTATTGCATATATACTATATTAAAATTACAGTTTTAGTTCGTTGTAATTTTTTGTTTCGAGAATAAAAACACGCTAGACAAAAGCACAAACCTAACAAAATCTGATATGTGTTGGCACAAAGACAATTTTATATTTTACAATTATTTCTATAGTTAGACAAGAAAAAAAATTAGATATATTATAAAACAAAGACAAATACTAAATCATAAAAATGACAATTAACTTGTACTAATTAGTAGTAAAAGAGTTCTGCCTGAAATTATCTTAAAATTCAGGTACCGGAAATATAGAAGAAGTGTATTTTTGAATGATCGTTTATACCATCCTAATACTTATGGCTCATTTGACACAGCTTCAGGTAGGTTGGTCTCCTCACTATAATGTAGGAAGGAGGTATAGCTAGTAAAAACAAAATAATAGATTTATTGGCTTCTATAATTTATTTTGAAAAGAGAGATAAAAACGACTTTTTGGTACAGTGGATGCCGGAGCCGAAGCCGACCAGAGCTCTATCAAACAGACTAATAGAGCCTTAATACTACAGTGCTACTCATTAAAGAAAACAAAAGGAAAGTTGAATAATTGATAAAAGGTACCTGTCGATGTTTCGAGTCACCATCAACAAATAAATTTCTAATATTACGCGTGTCTGGCTCGGATGGTGTGCTTAGAGGACACGGGGTTTATACTGGTTTATACAGAATGTCCCTACGTCCAGTTCGTTGCTGCTGCTCGTGTTACTTGCACTGAAAGTTTGCAGTAGGGGTCACTAACGGGCGAGAGAGGGACATGTCCCAAGTCTCTAATGGAAGGAATGAACGGGTGCCGAGAGCTCGGTTGCTCCTTAGCCGTGTGCTTGTGTTGTGATCGGTTCGAGGTTCGATGGGTTCGTGATGGTTCGATCGGGTCTGGCCTGGATCGATAGTTCGATTGTTCAATTGTTCGATCCCCTTCATGGGACGCCTTGCTTTTCCTTTTATAGACCAAGGGAAAGCACGGGTTACAGCAGAGGAAAGAAGGAGAACGAGCGAGAGAGAGGATGTCCTTCAGGATCTCTGGGTCCTTCTTATCCTTCATGCGGGTCCCGCTGACCTTGTAGATGTCAACAGAGACGGCTCCACGTCGCGGTCCTGTCTGTCACTAGCATCATGCGCAGGCGTCGTCTGCCAGTCATGGCGCTCCACTCTGTCCTGGCGGACGTCGTGGTGAACTAACGGTCCTGTCAGTGTTCATACGAGGGTCGGCAGAACACAACACGCACGCCCGACGCTGTTCCTGATGTGAACCCTCGGGTATGGCCTGTCGTGGCCGCGGGTTACATCGGGGCGTGTCGGTCTCTTCCCTGGCGTCAGAGCTTTGACCCAGGACCATACACATGGACCTGGAGTGGTTGGTGGCGGCATGGGTCTCCATCGGGCGAGATGAAGTCCACGGCCTCGGGGTTGGGCGAGGCGAAGCCCACGGCCAGAGGCCAAGCGAGGCAGAGCACAAACCCAAGGGTCGGGCGAGGCGGAGCCAACCCTCAAATGTCGGGAAAGGCAGAGCTAGCCCTCAGATGTCGGGCGAGGCGGAGCCAGTCCTCAGATGCCGGGCGGGGAGGAGCCCGTGGCCATGGTGTCGGGCGAGGCGGAGCCAACCCTCAGAGGTCGGGTGAGGCGGAGCTCGCAGCCACGGTGTTGGGCGAGGCGAAGCCCGCGGCCTTGGTGTCGGGCGAGGCGGAGCCAGCCCTCAGAGGTCGGGTGAAGCGGAGCCCGCGATCACGGTGTTGGATGAGGCAGAGCCCACGGCCTTGTTGTCGGGCAAGGCAGAGCCAGCCATTAGAGGTCGGGCAAGACGGAGCTAGCCCTCAGAGGTTGGGTGAGGCGAAGCCCGCGGCCTTGGTGTCAGGCGAGGTGGAGCCATCCCTTAGAGGTCAGGCGCGGCAAAACCCATGGCCACGGTGTCGGGAGAGGCGGAGCCCATGGCCTTGGTGTTGGGCGAGGCGGAGCTAGCCCTCAGAGGTTGGGTGAGACGGAGCTAGCCCTCAGAGGTCGGGCAAGGTGGATCCCACGGCCATGGTGTTGGGCGAGGCGGAGCTTGCGCGCCTAGGGGTTGGTTGAAGCCGTAGTCACGCTCTTGACTGCTCGGATGAATCAATGTTGATGGCCATTAGCTCCTCCTCTTCGGGTACCCTAGATTATGTCCCCGACAGTAGCCCCCAAGCCTATGGAGGAGTAGAATACTCCTTCGGAGGCTTTTCTGAACGGTAGGACTCTGAGGGCCTTGGTCTTCTTTTGTCACCCAAAATGGAGGAGCCGAGCCATGTCATGATTTTCCTCTATGGACGAATCATGGTGCTCGGTGAGCTATCAATGGGCTAGTCTGAGTGGGGCCCTGACATCCCTTTCATGGGGATCTGGCTTGGGTCAGCTGGTGACCGGCTCTAGATTCTAAGCGGTTGTCGACACGGAGTTTCATCCCGTGCCGAGGACACACGTAGCAAGCCGGAAGGGTCCGCCTAGCTTCAGCGCAGGGGTGGTAGATCCCGCGACTCCTCCCGAGACGTGCCAGTCAATTTGACCCTGCAATTGACAAGGAGAGAAAGTTTATCAGTAATTAAGGGTGGAACATGCCGGTGTTGCCAGACAGTCCCGAATGTGCGGCTCTGAGAGTCGATATGAAAGGAGATCGACTAAATAGTCGATTCCAGCATATTCATAAGAATAAATCGGTTAAAGCTCATGGGATTGTGTAAGAAGAATCGGTTATCGTTCAGAATGGATATCATTCTTTAAACAAATATTGGTCAATGACAATAATTTATTAACAATAATTAGTTCATGCTAAGCCAATGATTGCAAGTAGCCGAACCCCTTTTTATGAAAGAAACAGTTCATTATCATTCAACCATTTAATAGAGATAAATCTAATGAATATATTAGATCTCATCTATCGCTATGACCAGTGGGGCATGAGGCAGAATCATGCAGGTCATAGAAACAACAATAGACTCGACGACCCTAACTTATTACTAATATCAGTGGGGCATAAGGCCGAATCATGCAAGTCGTAATACAATAATAAGATCGTGGGGCTAACATATCTTTCAACCTATCCCTACTTCAACAATCTCGTGATGTGAACTGTTCGTGAAAGCACTCGATATCGGCTAAAACAACCGATTCAGGCATAGCGCACAGTTAAGGTCATGCCCTCTCAGGAACGGATCTACCAAATAACGATCCCTACTCCATGGTGCTAACAGTGGGGTGTGAGGTAGAATCACACAGGCCGTGATAACGGGCCAGGGAACAGTTTTTGCTAGCCAATAGATCTACTCAAGATCAAACATGTCTTAATCGCACGCTATGCACGATCAAGATTGATGTAAAACAGCCGATAAAATATAACTCATCGTTTAAAGTGCAGATTAGATCATTTGAGATTAACAAACGATGAGTTAAAAAAGATATAAGGCCGATCTAGATCAATCCCAATTAGGTGAAGTGATATTGCTGTAATTAAATAGATAATGGAAGCAACAAGCAATATTGGTAACTTAATGAATCTATCCAAAGAAACACCACCCTTAGATAGAGCCGATAACTTGACCTTAATATAGTTCGAGCAGTGGAGATAGATCGGATCGATGCAGCCGTACTTGAAGTAGACAAGAGTCGATAACTAACCTATATCAGAGTCATAGTGGAGGTTGACCGGATCGATGCAGCCGTACGAACAGAGGTATAAGCCATGACGGTACTTACAGACAAGCAGTGGAGGTTGACTGGATCGATGCAGCCGTACTTGCTGAAGAACTCACCGAGATCTACTCTACTCCTACTCCTAAGGGGTGGCTGGAGCCGAAAAAAGTAAATAACTGGTATTTGATTGATTGTGTGTCCCTTTACAATAGCCGGGGTTTGGTATTTATACCCGGAGCCTAAAAACGAATCCTACTCAAGTACGACTCAGTACAATCTTTGGTACGAAGAAAATATTCCTATTTTAAGATAACTTGGACTCTAATCTTTCCTCCTTTGTAGAGTCCGATATGTATCTTCTCGATGCCAATCATATCTCATCATCGTTATCTGCTGACGTTATTCGGATAGA